AAGGTTCAGGGCAAGACATAACTCTGAATTTCCCAAGCTACCCAAGCCTCCTGGGTTTGCAGCTTTGCAGCCTCCTGAGATCAGATTCCCATGATGGATTCTCAGCAGCAGAGATAGAAAGCTTCCCAAAAGGGCCCAAATCCCATCTGCTGAGCAGCCTCCTTCCCAGGCTATTTGCGGTATTTAGATTTCTGAGGAAAGCAGCGAACAAGGAGGAATTTCTCCCTACTTTGAGGCTCCTGTTTCCCTCCTCCCTGGGGAACCTCCCTTCTCCCTGCAGCGACTCAAGTCCAAGGCCAACCCATCCAACCGCCCGCGGTGGTGACTCTTCCCACCATCCTTCTGCCCCCAAAAGCCTCCTGCTGGGAAACCGTCCCCTCGCCATCAGGTACAACCAGACCCCTGCCTTTTTCCTCTGCCGGGCATTTAGAGGATTTGCCGGGATGTGATTCGCACAATTTAGGACAAGGCGCTTTTTTTTGAGCTCCCCTAATCTCCTAAACAGTTGCTGAAAGCCCAGGAGCATCCCAAGCTGTGGTTGCATGTCTAGAGGGTCTAATTAATATTTCTTTCCCTCCCACACCATCACTTTCACCTTTATAGGGGAATAGTGTCATCTCTGAGGATTTATGGGCTTTGCTTTCCAAAGGGAGAAGGATGCTGAGCACCTTTTCTAACCCGGCCCAAACAGCTGAGCCCTTGAGCGTCGTTGCCTTTCTCATCCACCTTCCCAACCTTGAGACAGGAGAGATCTCATCACCAGCTGGCGTAAATGGTGCTGACATCAACCAGGAACAACGTGCCTCTCCCTCCTTCACCAAAAAAAAAATACATATATCATCCACCTGCACCACTCGTTTTCCTCTCACCACTCCCTGGTTTATTTACCCCTCTGATTTAGGCGCTGCCGTAAGCCGTCCTTGTGCAGCAGCGGGCCACAGATCGGGTTTGCTGACCCTGAAATGAGGCGGTGTTGGGCTTGGGGGGAGATGTCAGCTTGCCCGGAGTCATAACAAAACCACACGCACTCATTTTCCTGTCAAATCGGCTTTAAACAAGCCCGATGCGAGTAAACATGGAAGCGCAGATTGCAAAGCCTGTACAAACACTCCCGGCTAACCGGTTTATACTCAGCAGATGTTAATGTTTAGCAGGCGAGGATGTGCCAAGAGGGGAAAGCAAAAAGTTGCCTTCCACAGCAGGCGAGGAGGGAAAGGTGATGTGGCTGCTGGAGCCGGCCCGTTTCGGTGGGCGAGACCCACGTGGCAGCGGGCGCTGGGATGCGGGAGGCAGCGGTGAGGCTTGGAGCATCCCCCAAATCCCTCTCAGATCCCTGGTACCTGCTGCCTGGCCCTGAACCAGCCCGGCACGCAACACAAATCACCTATGGGATGTGCTGGGATGGGTATCACCTTTGTAGGGCACGTTCCAGGGGTTTAGGGAGGGTTTGGTGGTCGGGGCCGGTTAGCATCCATAGGAGCCGAGCTGCGGCACGTGTAGGAAAGCAGCTGCAATCCTGAAATAATGTTATCTTAACAAATGGGTTTGTTATGGTTGTCGGCTTCCTTGAGGAGCATTTCTTAATCTAGAAAAGCAGCGGTCCCAACGCGGCAGGAAGCTTTTCATTATCGGCTCGGAGGAGTTCGGAGATGAGAGATTAGGGGAAATCCACTGCTCCGGGAAAGAAAAATACAGGATCTCTCTTCGGTCAGATGTGAAAATGCCTTGGAAATACTGGCTGCATCCAGACGTGAACTCAGGTGGCCCAAACCCGTGATGGGGGTGACCAGATGTGGGCTATGAGCAGCTGCCAGTGTTGTTTTAAGCAGAGAAAATCTAACAGAAAGTGGAGAAAGGAGGATCTCCATACCTGTGACAGCTCTGCTCCTCCTGTTTCCTCATTTCGCCACATCCTTTGCATTATTTTTCATGATATTTTGGGAAAACCCCAAACATTTCTACTTGGAGAAGCACAATATTGGCTCGTTGTATAGATAACATAGGGCAGCCCTGTTTCCAGCATGAACACCGCAGCCACAACCAGGACCTGCAGCCTGGATGGGAAGAGACGGTGTAGGAGTCTCAGAGCATCTTGGGGTGCACCCACCAGCTTGATATTTTGTCCCATTTGGGAGAAATAAAGTGGGGTTTGTTTTGGGGTTTTTTTTTTTTTTTTTTGTACAGCAGGATCTATAGTTTTTTTAAGAGGCACCCACAGAAATTGATCTTGGGCAAAGAGGCAAAGCAGCAGACTGAAGGACTGCATGGGTCAAGAGAGGAGTTTTATGTATCCCCTGCAGCCAGTTCGACTCTAATCCAGCAAAGCAATGTGATTTCTTGCAAATACCCATTTGTCTAGTGCAAAACGCCTTACATATCTCCTCCTCGCCCTTGGCTCGTGGTCCGAACCCGAGCCCTACCACAGCTCCAGTGGGTTTGGAGCCTGTCCCGCAGGAACAGCCATGGCTTGAGCACAGATTTGAGCAAGAGCTCGATTGCTTCTAGCTTCAGAGGTCGTTTGGCACAACACCCGCCAGCCACGGGAGGAGAGAAAGTGTATATATATATATATGAGTGAAAGTATATATATATATATATATTTGAGGGATGAAAAAACTGTCTGAAGAAGCCTAAGAGATGCATAAAAGCATGGAGGAGTGGAAACAGCAGCATGTGGGAAGCAGAACCAGAAGGTCCCACCCCAAGGGGGTTTCACCGTAATCCAAGCAGACGTAGGCACTGAAATACCTCGCTGCTGCTCCCTAAAGGATTTGTCCCCCGAAGATTTGGACTTGCTACCCGGAATAAGGAGGATTTAGGGACTTTTACCTCGATGTCTGTGCTTGCATCTGCCGCCCAGCACCAGCAAAGCCCCCCAGCCCCGTCTGTCTGTCCCACCGTGTTGTTTGGTTTATGGACATTTTCAGGCCCTACGCTCCGCGCCACGAGGGGAATGTTGTCGGGCCTTTTTATCTCCTTCCCACTCAAGTTTTATCAGTTATTTATTTATTTGGGTTTATTGCTTTCCTTGTTCCTTTTGTCATTTCATTTACTCAATCCCCAAGGCTGCTGAAGTGAGGCACCAAAAAAAGCAAATATAGGACAAATAATTATTATTTGCATGTTCTATGGAACAAGCCAAGAAAGAGACTCCAGGGAGAGGGTGGGATTCGCCTCTGTTTGTTTCTTCAGAGGCAGTATTAAAAAGGAAAAATGTGAAAAGGCGGGTGGAAGAGTTAACCCTTGCCGGAGCCATGTCTCCGCACCATGGAGGGGGCTGAGAGCTCCCAGCAGCGGGGAGGAGAAGGAGGATGAATCAGAAACAGGTTCCCTGGTGCTTTTGGCTTCCCACCAGCAGAAACAATGCAGAAATAAAATGCAAGAGGAATCCCTGGCAGCGAGGAAAGAAAAGCTGTGCCGTCTGGTACCCAGGGCAAAGCAAAGGACAGGGTTCTTTTTTTCCCACATAAACTCACCACTCCCCCCCACCAAAAAAAAAAAAAAAAAAACCAAACAACAAAACTATCCACCTCCCTCATGGCATTTTTAGGAAGGAATTCCAGCCAGATTTGGTGAATAATTTCCAGACCTGGGCATGGAGGCGAGGGGGTCTTGTGTGGTACGCGCCGGGATGAGCGCCCGGGTGCGTGGGATGCTCAGCATCGCCCCGGGGGCCTGGGAGCCCCGGCACCGTCCCCTGGGGTGGCTCAGAAGAAAACATTTGGATGCCCATCCCTTTGTACCAACTCACCGGCTTTGTGACGGGAGCTAATTTTATTTCTGTTTTTCTTTGCTAAAAGGAAACAAAAACATTGACGCCCCCGCACACACACGCGACGTGCTAATTGCAGTAGTCTTTTCTTTTTCAGGTCCAAATAGGAAACATCGGCCACGACTGGAAAACCACCTCAGCTGAGAGCTCCCAGCAAGCCTTCGGCTGGAACAAAATCCCCGAAGGCTTTCTAATTGCGTCCGCATTGGGGATGGGAGGGAGGAAGGAAGGAGAGAGGGAAACAAGGGAGGAAGGAGAGAGGGAAACAAGGGAGGAAGGAGGGAAACAAGGGAGGAAGGAAGGAAGGAAGGAGAGAGGGAAACAAGGGAGGAAGGAGGGAAACAAGGGAGGAAGGAGGGAAACAAGGGAGGAAACAAGGAAGGAAACAAGGAAACAAGGAAACAAGGAAGGAAGGAAGGAAACAAGGAAGGAAGGAAACAAGGAAACAAGGAAGGAAGGAAACAAGGAAACAAGGAAGGAAGGAAGGAAACAAGGAAACAAGGAAGGAAGGAAGGAAACAAGGAAACAAGGAAACAAGGAAACAAGGAAGGAAGGAAGGAAACAAGGAAACAAGGAAACAAGGAAGGAAACAAGGAAACAAGGAAACAAGGAAACAAGGAAGGAAGGAAGGAAACAAGGAAGGAAGGAAGGAAACAAGGAAACAAGGAAGGAAGGAAACAAGGAAGGAAGGAAACAAGGAAGGAAAGAAGGAAACAAGGAAGGAAGGAAAGAAGGAAAGAAGGAAAGAAGGAAAGAAGGAAAGAAGGAAAGAAGGAAAGAAGGAAAGAAGGAAACAAGGAAGGGAGGGAGGGAGGGAGGGAGGGAGGGAGGGAGGGAGGGAGGGAGGGAGGGAGGGAGGGAGGGAGGGAGTTATGCAGAATCATTCATACTGGAGATGGACTTTTCTTTAAATGAAAAGCAGGTTAAATGCTTTAAAATGACGTGCTTCACATTTTCTTCAAGGTGTCAGATCCTTGCTCTTGAGGAGATGCTCCTAAGGAGTGGAAGGAGCATACACGTTGTCTCTGTTCACTTCCCTTTCTCCTCCACAAAAGCAGAAAACCAAGTAAGTTTAAAAGCAATTGAACCAAAGATTTCCTTTTCAAAAAGGTACACATTTCAACCTGTTTTATACAACCACACTGTGAACACATAAAAGTGATTTTCCTTCCCTCCCCATCACCTTTTGGCAGCCGTGTTTTACCTGCCCCTCTGGGATGGCGTAGCACAGCAGGCACAAACTCGTGGAGGGTCTCCGGCTGCTCTGCGATGCTCCGGGGATGAGGAGAAGCCAAAAAAACCCGGGATTCAGGTGGGATAACAGCTGCTTTGCATTAGCATCTCCCTCTTGAGGGTTCCCTTGTTTTTATTCTTTCTCCTTGTTTCCTTTTCTCTCCGCTCACTCCTTTTTCTCCTGCCTTTGGGAGAAAAAATCTCCCTGTCTTTCAGTGCCCGTTTTCCTCTGTGTTTGTTTTTCCACGTAATATATCCTCACCTCCAAAGTAAGTGCTGAAGCCGGGGGGTTAATGGGCAACTTGGGAAAACTATGATCAAGGCCATACCTTGCCGCAGCCATCCTGTGTGACCCCAAGCAAGACCCCTAAGCCCAGGTTTCACCTCCCCCTAAATCCTGGAGGTATCTAAAGATGGATGAAGACGTGGCCTTTAGTCTCTCTAATTTCACTTAACATCTAGCAGGGGGATATTGGTTTTTTTTCCCAAACTCCCTGGGATTTTTTAAGATGCCTAGATAGACCAGGCTTAAGTAGACTCAGTCTACTCTTTACTCGTCTCGCTGCACCTTTCCCCTCCATCCCTTGGCCAGATGGCCTTCCCCTACCTCTCACGCCTGTGTTTCTATAGCATATGGGGCTGCTTCTGGACAACACATGTCATCAAGAACACAGAAAGCCTTAATTAGCTCTGTCATGATGATGTGGTCCCTATAGTGACCATAATTTGGGGAGCATGTGTTTCTGTTACCCGGGGCCTCCGTGCAGCACTTTGAAAATATTCTGAAAAATATAGAGTTGCAAAAAAGGCTAAAGCAGTATATTAGCAAAAAAAAAAAAAAAAAAAAAAAACAAAAACACAACAACAAAAAACTGAAACAAACTAACAAAAAAACCCCAAACCCTGTTCTGTGACATGGGGAGGGATATATTTAGGATATTTTCTCAGCTCGGTACACCCCAAAGGCTTTGATTTAGCCTCGGTGTAAACTTCCAGCATGTGTGAAGTTGCTTTGCTTACAGGCTATACTGAGCAGGGAGGTGCTGAAGTGCCTGCTCAAAATTAAGAACATTCTTAAGGGCTAAGAAAAATGTGCAGTATTTAAGCATGGATAGCAATTAAGCACCGTAACGTGGCCCTGAGTGCCTTGGTGGCTCCGGGACAGAGCGTTTTGGTTAGCCAGCTCCGGCCATGCCCGATGCTTCGGCCACCTGAAAATGTCTCAGACTCTCTGTTGAATCCCTGCGGTCTCTACGTTTGATTTCAGAGCAAAAAGCGGCTCTTATTGCAAATAATTACCCTTACTCCTCGGTTACGTATGGCGTTGTTCCTTCCACGACTCCAAAACATTTTTCCTTGAGGGCTTATATTTCCAGAGCTGTCAATCCAACACCTCTCACCAGTGCTAAATTCATTTACAAGGTGGAGAAGGGCGGACGGGAAAAAAAATGCTTTAAAAAATAAATAATCAAGCCACATTAAATAACCATTTGGGAGACCATCCGCCTCCCAGGCTTGCTTGGCTGAACTTGATATTAATTAGGCTAAATCCAAACGCAGCACCTTCCCCAGGAGTCGGCTGGAAAGATCTCACCGCTCACCCCATGGCTGCAATTTCCAAAGGCTTTACCTAGTTAAGGATTATAATCCTTAACAGCTGCCTGATTTACTCAGCTCATTCCCTCGGAGATGCTGACGCGGTCCTCGGCCGACAAACGCCGTCTTTTTCCTTCTGCCATCACTTCTTCGAGGATTATGCGTTTATAGGAGTGAAAGCGTGTGATGGAGACCACCAAAAAGGTAAAATCATGCTCCTGACACCAGTCGATAAGGAGGTGGGAGTTTGCTTGCCATAAATCCGTGAGCTCTGCTTGCCAGATTAGAGTTGGCCGGACAAATTTGGCACTGACCGCATTATATAATTAGAAAAAAATACTTTTTAAAAAAAAAAAAACAAAAAAACAAAACCAACACAAAACAGCAGAAATGCTTGTGGGAATGTGTCAGTTTGCTGGCTGGGAAGGACAACGGGGTGAAGTTTAGTCTGCTGCAAGTAACCAGCAAGGGTCAGCATCACCGGGGGGTTGGCATCCCTCCCCAGCCGGTCCCGCAGCGGTGCTGGAGCTCGTCTCCATCACCCGCCTGCAGAAAAGCTGCCCGGGCTTTCTGCGAGCGCCTGACCCGGGTTTAGGATCAATGACACATCCTCAGAGCCACCGGAGTGGGGAAAAAGGCCTTTTCTGCTTGGAGAGCAGGATTTTTCCTGCCAGGTTTGGGGAGGGGAGGGGGGACCGGCCGTAGCCAGCACAGCCTGCGCTCTGCGATCGGCTTCACGGCAGAAAGCGGGGAGAGGGGCCGGGGTCTCTTGTCCCTGCTCCACATTAGAATTTAATTTTAGCTCCGGTGAACATCCCTGCTTTCCCTGGGCAGCACAGGGCACGGCCGAGCACTGCGCTGCCCTTCCCAGTTTATCTCACCCCTCCGGAAAGGATTTCTGCAGGACATGTGTTATCAATTAGGTCCATTTGTTCAACTTACGTCTGGTTTTGCTTTTGTCTCCTGGCAAACCCTAATAATAATAATAGTAATAATAACAATCATAATAGCAATACTAATAGCAAGGCAGCATCCCAACCTCAGGGATTGGACCTGCAGACACGTTGAAGAGCACCGGACCAGAAAGACAGACGAGGCAGAAGCTCTGCCCTCATCCTCAATGGTTTCTCTCCCTGACATTACACTTCAGGTAATATTTTTTCAACGTTTTTGGGTTTCAGCTTCAGACAAATGGAAACAGGCAGCTTTGCAGGCAGTCCCAGATGCAGGATCGAGTTTTATGTTTCATAAAGGCATTCGCTGCCCAAGCCATCTTCAATCCTCGGGCTCAGCCGGGGACGGGTTTGGAGCGAAGCACGCGGTGGTTTGGCTGGAGCAGCACAGGACCCTCGTTCTCAGCAAATCCCCTTGGGTATTAAATCATTTGGAGAGTTTAGCACTTGCTATAGGTGGTGCCACGAGAGCTTAAGAGGCTGGAGATCTCGATGTCCCATCATGAACACCAGCCATGCCTTGTGCTACTATGCCATGGGGGTAGATTCAGTTTTCCTGCTATTTTTACTGCTTAGGATGTAAGAAAAGCTGTACTGGGTCAGAGCAGAGGTCTGTCTAATCCAGCATCTTTCTCCAAAGGTGGCCAAAAGCAGGTGCCTGGGGAAGTGTACAAGAAAAGGGCAAAGAAATTGGATGGGAGGCTAAAACAACCGGGAGAACTGAACTGATTTGTTCTAGAAGAGCACTTGAGTCAGCCTTTCTTTTTTTTGGTAGGGTTTATTTTTGGTAGGGACTTGGGGTGGGTTTGGTTTTTTTTTTTTTTTTAGGTTTTTATTTCTTTTACACAAAACCCCACAGTGCCAAAGCCAGGGAACGGGAAAATGAAATGATACCAGAGGGGCATTTCCTAAATACTCCCCGTGCTTCTCCCAGGGTGTAAATAACTCCTGGGAGCCTGTGGCTTTGCCCTTTGCCAGTGAGACATTTTCTGGGAGCTTGATGGAGACTCCTGGGCATGGCTCCGTGGCTTAAGGGGATGAGTCTTATGTCCATCAGTCTGCCACCTTCAACTCCCTGGCTGTTTTCGACCCCCTTCTAACCACATCAAAACTGAAATTTCAAAGCTACAGGTTTCCTTCACATTTGGCGGAGCTGGAGGAGGCAGGTGAAGATGTATCAGTGTCCCCTGAAAGGAAAAGCAGCCAGCTCAGCCTTTTATTAGCCATCAGAGAATCCAAAGAAGGCAAATGCACAGGGAAGGGAAGCAAAGCACAAAATCTTTCAGTGTCATAAAACCGGGAAGCCTGAGAGCCGTCGGCGGCAGCGTCTCAGGACGCTGGGGAAAGCTTCCCCCCCCTTCCCCCTGGATACAGCACACGATGCTCCGCGTCATTTCTCTTGCCCCAGGAGCCTATTCCTGCGGCTTCAGGCTTCGCAGGGACACGGGGCATCACTCCTGTCACCCTCCTGGTGCCAGGGTCGGCCCCGCTAAGTCACCGCCGGTTTTCCCGCGGCGAAGCGCCCTGAGCAAGGAGACGACTCGGCTGACCACCAGCCTTCCCTTTGGGCGGGTGTTTCTGGCATCGGTGCTCGTTTCTTCCACCCTTACCAGGTAAATACACGGGGGTTGTGTAGTTTTTAGCCTCCCTCAGTGATTTTTAAGGGCACCTGGTTAGAAGCGTGGCCGTCACCTGGTGCTACAGGCACTGGTTTTAGCTTCGGTCTCTGCTCCTGAACTCGAGGGGGAAACTATGGCACAGGGTATAGCACCAGCTGGAAATCTCCCGCTCTGTTCCTAATAAAGCCGTTTGCAGCTGGAGCCTTTGCAGCATGGGATATATTTGGGCTGCACCTGAACTTTCTTGTGGGGAGAGGCGCAGGAGATCAAGCCTTTATTTCCCTGTAGGAGCCAGCAAGGGGGAAGGTGCTCGGTCAGGTTTGTCGTGTTTGTTTCTTTATGGGAATGAAAAGGAGAGCGAGCATGCCCCCCAGTAAAGCACATTAAATTTGCCAAGTCACTGCAACATAGCAGGGAAAAAAAATCGCATTTGCTGGGGGAAATAAAATACCAGGCAATCTGTCCCTGGTGAGAGCTGGAGGGAGTGACATCAGGCATCCCTGAGCTGACGTGTCCCGTTAAAAGGAAGGGGTTTATCTCACGGTTGGCCCTGATGTAACGGGGAAAGAGGGCTCTGACTCAGGGAGGGTGTGCTGGGAATTGGCAGGAGGAACGGGCGCTGTTTTCCGGGCACCCAGCAACCCCACAGCCGCCTCGGGTCGGCTCAGCTGTGAGGTTAACCTCGCTTTTCCTGGACCATCCGAAGGTGAAGTGACTGAGGCTTTGGCCGCATACGGAGCGGATGACTCCGGAATAGCACGTCGGGAAGGGATGGTCCCGGACAATGGTATGTGCAGACACAGTTGTTCCAGGATATGAGAGCGCTGTTCCAGTTTGCATTAATCTGTTTAACTCTATATTGCTGTTTTCCTGACCAGAAAATTTCAGGCTAAAGCAAACCAGCCTTGTGCATTTAACATCCCGGCGCAGGCGAGCCCTGGGGCTTGCAGGGACTCATCTACCACCGGGCTCCTTCAGGCTGGGGTTTGGGTTTTTTTGCCAATAGCAAATCCTGTAGCAGAAGCAAGTCAGAATAAACCTGTTAGCCTTTCAAAGGTTTGGGTTTTTTTCCCTTCAGTTAATGAGTTGAGGCTTCAAAGAGACCGGGGTCCCAATAAGACAAGAAACGCTCTACAGCAACCAACTAAATGACATCCCCCAGGGAACCAGGTGTAACTTTAAATACAGTTTTATTTCAGGTTTGCTATTGACGCACAAACAGCAGAGATTGATGTTTAGTATACATGGTATACACAAAGCAGCCAGTACGATCGGCATCTCCGTCCTTTTGCTGCACACTCGGCAAAAGAACCGCACACAGAGAAATCCCTCCCGCCCCATCCTTCCTCTCCCCGTGAAACAAGGGTGACGATTTCTCGGTGGCTTGGAAACCATCTCTTGGATGGCAAGACACAAAAGGGCAGCTCCTCGGAGCTCTGTCCCCAAACGAAAGCACGGCGGGCTTGGCGACGCAGGAAAACCCTCCAAAAATGGATGATACGTTCATGGGAATGGAGACCTGGAAGGGATTTCCTAGAACATTAAATCCCGTTCCCTGCTGTGCAGAACAACCACAACATCTGCTCCTGGCTCTGTCGAGCCGTGTGGAGACCCAAAATATTGTTGTGTTCAAAAAGGCATTACATAAATCCAGGGGAGGATGGGTCTGCAAACATTGTCACGAGGAGTTTGCTCAGCTGGTGGAAAGGTCCAGCAAGGAAACCCTTGCGCTACCGGTGCCCTGTTTCTTGGGATCTTTCTCGCCTTGCCCACAGCTGGAGACCTTTCCGAGCAGACCAAAGGAGATTCCACGTTATACCTGCGAGGGACCGAGCAAGCAAGGTAGGCTCCAAACTTCTAACTGCTGAGACAGCATCTTCTGCCTACCCATAATCTGGGTATCGCCCCCATAGTCCCTTTCTGCTGATCCCAATAACGACGTAGCTCGACCCAGAGACTCTGGCTTGCTCACAGGCCCAGCTAATTAATTAAGAGGCACCTTCATCAGTGGAAAAGCAAAAAGTGAAACGGTCCCTGATGGTTTGATCTGAGCAAGAGACCTAAAACGATGCATTAAATGGTCGTTAGGGAGAGGGGGGTGCGTGAGGTAAGACAGCCTCCCGTCACCACGGGCACGATGCTACATAACTGGCAGAGGTAAATAAACCCTTGCAGAGAACCCTGGAGGGGGAAACTGGTTGTAGATGCTCTGCAGCAGCGAGAGGTTCACCAGCCCCTCTTCCCCCCCGTGTGCCTGAACCCCGCTGAGCCCCTTTCCCCCATGAAAGCCCGAGACCCACATTTATTTTCTGCTCCTGCAGCTCAAAAGCGATGCCGGGAAGTCTCCCCAGCCCTGCTAGAGGTCAGCTCAGGTTATCTCAGGGAGGCTTAAGGCAGAGGAAAAATAACCCAAGCTGGCCCGAAGGTCGGAGGCCAGAGGGTGGTGGGATGTCTGGGCACGGCTTACTGGTCCCATTAAGCAGGGAGCACCATTTCCAGAGCGGAGTCAAGTACCGGCGACTGGCGGGGTTGCGTCTGACCCCGTACGGCACCGTGTCGTGGCACTACAGTACAGTTGCTTGTTGCTTTTTGGGGATGACAGCTCAGATCTCAGGTCCTTTCAGCCCTGAAAAACTTCAGGCGGGCGGTTTACGACCTGCCCTGGACCGGGGTGTAAAGGAGCACCCAGCTACGCACTGGGTGCTCGCACAGCCCCATCCCGAAGCACCATAGGAAAACCTCAGCCAGGTGAGAAAGCCCACTGGGAATAAC